GACGGAGAAAACTCCAACTCAAAGCTATCTCCATTTTGAATATTTTTCTCCTGTACCTTCGAAAAATGCCCACAAAAAAAAATTATGTCAAAATAATGCTATAAAATAAATCCGAGTAACTTAGGTGATAGTGTTACTACATGTTATATAAAACCTCCAGATTCCCTGCAAAATAGATAAGGAAGATTACACTTCAAAAGATGCCGTGAACATGCCGAACTCATTGAGCTGTACACAGATGTTTTTGTTTTCATTAATGCAAAATCTTCTCACAGGGCTAACAGCAAAATATTATGAACTACATCCTTCTTTCTTTGAAGAATCCTGTGCTGCACATATTTGTTTCATACTGTTACAGAATATAGTACTACTCACTTTGAAGAGGGCTTATGGAATCTACCCCTGAAGGAGATAAGCAGAGCACAGCAATAACTCATAGCTTAATGCTTTCAGTGTATGCAAAACTTTAAAAAGCAATGGCTTTTTTCCAAAAGATGTGGGCACATGCATGGACCAACAAACTACCAGCTTGCTTACTGTTTCCTGTCCAGTTCATTTTTTTTCCTTTGCAGTAGTTTAAAGCAACATAACTGCTGCTAACTCTGGGTTTCATATTCCATCCTGCTATTGCTCATAGATGTGTCAGTCATACTAAACCCAACTTATCACTCTCTTGTTTGTGTTTCTTCCTTCAGATGCCTTGAGCAGGCCTCCCAACTCTTAACGTTCTCCCTTACTGTTTCAAGCATAACCTCCCAGAACAGCAGTGCCTTTGATAGACACCAGTATGTCCGGTCCAGATCCCACAATCACAGGCCTAAACACCTTCACCTGCACCACAAATCTCTGCTGGTCTTCTCCAGATCAGGCTGACAACATCTTCTGCATCTCTGTAAGGTCATGATTCCTGAGCCACTATACAGTCTCCAGCTATTTTACTTACTGCCCCCAATAACTGGTGAATCATCTTTGACATAAGTAATTCACAAAAGAATCTGATGCTCAGAACTTAAATTTTCTGGATGATTCCTGCAAATGTCCAAATTACAGTTTTCTATCTACACAAAAAAATCTCATATATTCTGACATCCACCTGACCACTGTAGCCTTTTCTTGGTGTATCAGAAATCTGACTATTACTTTTTCATACTACTTCAGAAACCTTCTATAATGAATGTCTCCCTATTTCCACTTAGGAAAATATTGTACAGCTCACTGAAATGCTTTCTCAATCGCTTCTTGTTCTTAAGACTCATGCCTCTCATGGCTTCTTCCCATACCCATCAATTCTGGCACTACATAAAATGTTGACCCTTTCTTTGGCACGACAATGGAGCCCGCTAATGCACTGTTTTTTCCAGATAAATAGTTTTGAGCTGTCTCCTGCTTGAAGACCTCCACTTAGAAGGAACTGCTACTTAAGAAAACTAGCTTTAATCCCTTTACACATTTTCTTTACTTTTGTGAATAATAATCTGACAGCTGTTTTCATGATTTCACTGTCCTTCCTTCATTTCTATTGACTTTTGTCTTAGATTTTAGACTATAAAAGGCAAGATCACTTTTGCTATTGTTTTTGTGTTGTTGTATAGTTCCTGCTACTAGAGCTATATAACCCATAGCTGTTAGCAGTGCTAGTATTTCTGCTTTAAATATAATTTTATATTAGGTCTACATATTCAAGTAACTTTTCAAGTGTTAGCTTGCATTTCTGTATCTTCAAAAATAATTTGCTAGCCATAGAAGCAGTGATCTTTTGCAGCAGCACATTCTCTGAGGTCATACAAGTCAATGTCAAATTTAAAATTACACTTTTTAGTTCCCAATCTATATTCTTCCATTGTCTTGTACATTAAAAGGGCTCAGAATTAGTACTTCACTGCTGACTATGGGGTAATTTCTCTGACAACCAGATACAAAACACAGATAAGACATTAAGAGCTGGCTGTCTATATTTTAATATAAACCTAATATGTACATCCAAAGGAATGAACCACAAATCCTTACAGAAGCAAAACATCAATTAAAGATCAGACAGCTTGAATGGGTTAATTAACAAGAATGCTGACACAATCAATAAAGCTATTCTAGTAAAGGCAATCTCTGCCCTCCCATTTTTCTGACAGATGGCTTTAGATCATGCATACCCTTTTCATAAGAAAACATTTGGAATAGCAAGATAGAGATTCTTGTAATAGATGAAAAAAATAATCCAGTAACACAGCTTCTATTTACTAGAATGCGGTGGCACGGGTATCATTCATCAAGCAAGGTGCTGCTTCATGGGAACAAGGGTGTGAGAACCTTGACTGTAATATCACTACTCCTCACCACCCCACACGTAAAGAGCAACTCAGATTGGATTTTTAATGTTCTGTACTAGATTCTGTTTTAAATAATAATAATTATTATACATTGGATTACATCCATGGCACAGTATTTTCCATGTAAGAATCAACCTACCCTAACCTTTACTAAAATTGTAGCACACAGATAAAATAATCTGTCCATTTCTTTCCTTCCTCAAATGCCACTTACTTTCCCTAATGAGAAGTAAAAGTGCTTAAACAAATAGGTATGTGGAGACATGGTGCAACTGCTGCCAAGTAATCTGAATATAAATTAAGGGACCTTCACCAGCTGCAGTAAACATACTCCAAACTCCATTAGATGTTAATCAAACTTAAGTACACTAATGTGTGGTTCCTGTGCTCTTTGCATAGCTGAGTTAACTGCTCTTACTGAAGTGCCTTTGCTTTCCTAGGTGCATCCTCCCACACAGTACAATTCACCCTTTTATGGAAAACATGGTTATGAAGGCTCCTGGTGGACTGCTCATCAGCCAAATTCCTCTGCTAGTCTGCAAGGCAGGAGGCTGCTCACTAAAAACTGAGACCCCTAGACACAAGAGGACACAGCCCAAACTCCCAGTTGCCTTTCAGGTACACATGTCAGCCGCATGCTGAAGTTATAGCAGCTAAGGGCAAAACTTAGGGGCATAGAAGGATAAAACATCACATCACTAGTGCAAAGGCAGCACGGCTTCAGTATAGTGGTGCTGCTTTTGGAGAGTCAAAACTGGTGAACACAGCGCTGTCCATGGAGAACAAGTGCAACTCTAGTAGATGACTTCCAAGGAAATTACACAGACATAATCAACTTACTGCACACAGGTCATGAGCAGCAAGCTGCTGGATTATTTTATTTTATTTTTTTTTAAATGCAAGATAGAGATTTGAACTAGTGAGTAAGACATGGGAAACTTATTCCTAGCCCTGTGAACTGCTCATCTCCTACCAGGGATCTCTTTAAACACATAACACTACAGACTAACAAATACATCATCCAAAGAAGTCAAATGCAAAGTTGAGCAGCCTGCACAGCATTATTAACAATCAATATTAACATGATGCAACTGATCTACCTCCTGTGGGAGCGATCCGCATTTAGATTTGTTTGTGTGACAAGAACATATGGTGATTGCAATTGCATTTGCAAGAAAAATTAAATAGATTGTTCAAGATTAGGTTCTGTGTTCTGAAGCTGTGCAGGCACATGAGTTATATGAATAAACAAATTGAAACAAAGGCCTAAATTGTATTGTTTGTCCAGATTATTAAAAACTCCCCAACACACCTGCCCAGTTGGCATTTCTGACATGATATCAGTTCTTGTTTACCACTGCATTTCATCTGCAGGGCCGAAGAGTGGCAACAAATACAGATAATATGCACCCATCCAATCTGCCATTCTCCTAAGTTTTGACTCTGGCTTGGCCAGTTTCAGCCTGCTGCATATCAAGAAGGACACACAGAGATAATCATGTATGCCTTCCTCTGTTATTGTGCTATTGGGCACCAGTGCCATTTAGGGGTGTTGACGAGAAAACTGCAGCCTGAAGCCAGCTTTCAGTTTCAGTCTCCCATCAGACATGCTGCTCAGTCTGAGCATCCAAAACTCTCCAGCATCTCTTGCAGCTTATCTACTGGGAGATAAATGTCAGTCTCCAGACTTTTATTTTTCCTTCTAGGTTTCTGGATAAAAACACTTTTCCTAAGTAGAATCATTATATTAATCTGCTTTCTAAACTGCTGCTGCCAAAGCTCAGTTACAAACCTGAGAAAGTACTGATCCCATCAGCACTAATAGCATATCCAAAACAGAGGCTTTAAATTCTGTGTAATCAGAAGCTGGTACCCAATAAAAACTTCAGAGCTCTAAATGATACTGGGATTACATGTCTGCTTTGACTAGAGGGAAAATACTCAGCAATCGGCTGCAGTATTTAAGCAATTCATAAGATTACAAATAAGGCTGCACTCCTGGCTCATTCTAGGAAAAGCAGCTGTTTTGGGGTGGGTATATTTTTTTCCTAATTAATTTGTGCCTATATTTCTAGTTTGAGTCTGTTTCTTAGCTGAAGCAAACAAACAGAAAATGGAAATATTTACACTGCTATGGACGCAGACAAAAGAAAATATGTAGAGAACATCACACAACAGAGTTTTTCTGGGCAGCTAGTGCTGAATGACATACGCTGGAACGAAGTCAAGCTGTTAAGCAGATGTGCACATTTCCATGTGCAGGTCATGCTTATTTACATACATAGACAAACACCTCTGTCTCTCAGTAGATGCCACAGTTCCAGTCCCTGTACAGGATTGTCAAAAACTTTCCACGAAAACTACGATGACCTTTAAAAACAAAACACCACCCTTTCGTTCACATAAAGTGTGTGCCCGAATTCTGAGAAGTGTGTTGTTCTTACTAATTCTCACCGCACCCTGAAGCGTCCGCACGGGAGAGAGACAGGACTCATCCCCAAGCCCCAGAACCCCTCCACGACCCAGCTCACCCCACAACCGCAGCGCACGGGGTGCTGCCTGCTCCCCGCGCACAGCCGTGGTACCGCGCACCGGAGGCACAGCGGGATGCGCCTCGGCCAGCGTAACGTCCGCACCGCACCGCACCTGCGGGATGGCCGAGCCGCTGCTGCCTACCTGTCCGCGGGCGCCCTCCCCGTCCGAGCGGCCGCTGCGAACCGCCGCTCCACCGCCGGGTCCCCGCTGCCGCTGCGTCGGGCGAGGGGCGGTGTGTGCGGCGGGGCACAGCCCCTCCCTCCGTCTCTCTCTTTCTCACCCTCCCTCCCTCCATCCCGCCCCGCCGACGGCTCGGCCCGGTCCGCCCCCGACCCCTCCGCCCGCGCGGGGGGCAGCGTCCCGGCAGCGCCGAGAGGAAGGACGGAGACGGGCGGGTCCCCACGCTGCTCCCCGCGATAGCCCCCGTCTTGCCACTCTCAAGCGGAGTAAAACTCAGGGAGCTCAGAGGGTGAGAGCTTGCAGAGGATGAGTGCCCTCCAAGCGAGTGCTGGAGGGATTTAGCTTTCCCGGCTCCCTCGAAGGTCGCTCACGGGTCCCAAAAGCAACAGGCAGACGCCCGTGCCCCTCGCTAGCACTGCTCGGCACTACGACTTTCTCACTCCTCTGTATATGGATGTGTGCTTGTTTTTCAAGTACTTTGGGTAACTCCTGCTTGGTGACTGAAGTTGCAGCTTGGAGAGATGGGAGGAAAATGTTTCGTGTAGCTGCGCTTGCAGCAAAGAGTCTCGGAAAGACTGACAAATGCAGTTCTCCCTTTCCTCCCCCCCCCCCCCTCCCCTCCCCAGCCTTCTCCTTGCGCGGCTTCTGTAGGACAAACAAACGCTGATATGCTTTCAACATTGAAAAGGAATCCTAAATAGCGAGGACAGCCGATAACCTGCCCAGTTAGCTGACGCACGAGGAAGCCCGCCCGGGATAAACAGCGAAGGCTATCACTGCCCGCGGCTGGGCGCGAGGCCGCGCAAGGAGCGGCGGGTTTGGGTGCAGCGGGCGCGGCTGCTGAGCTCCGGGCTGCGCGCATTTCCCGAAGAGCAGCGACCTCTGCGGGCTGCCGCGGGGCTCCGCTTTGCGCGCACCGGGACAGCCGGCACGGAGCGATCTGTGCGTATCCGCAGCTTGCAGGAGCGAAAATAAAATATCCATAACCCAGACGTTCGCCTCCCGTACATCTCTGTTCCCTCTATCAGGAACTGGTGGTAGTTTTGCTCAGATCTCCTCTCAATCATTTTAAAAATGAAAAAATAGCAGTGAGCATTTTTCTTTTTAACAGAAAGTTTATTTTCAAGTGGATTCAAATTAATTACCCAGATTCTGTGCAGATTTTTAAGACAGACCGGAAAAAAAAAGGGGGGGAGGTTGGGGTGGAGGGGTAGGGGGAGCAGAGGAATTGTCTGCCAAGGAAGCTGATCTCACTAACGGAAGGTCATCGGTCTCCTTTCTGTGATTGTTGCTTAGATTTGTTTAACTTCATTATATCCACTTGCTTCTTATCAAAGCATGTGCCTTAGGACTGGTTAGTGTTTTAAAACATCACAATTTCTCCAAGTAATGGTAAGTCCATAATTTAGTTGTACAGTGCTGTTCCCTGCTGTTGTGCTGTCAGAAAAAAATATATCTTTACATATTCATTCTCTGACTTCAGCAAAAAAAACATTACGTCACTTCTGTATTACTTCTTGACACCTCTTACAAGCTGAAGAGGTTTCCTTTCATCATCTGTTCACCTCTAATGAATACATACAAAATAGTAAGAAAAGAGCTTTATATTCCTCATCCTCTTTTGCAATGTGAACCACATTCTTCTGTGAACTGTCTCATTTTCTTTAAGGGAAGTGGCAGAAGAATGAGGAACTGTGCTGTAAGAATATGGCCCTAAATGCTCTTCTGAAGACAGCTTCCTCTTTAACATGCTTTTCATGGAAATGTAAAGCAATATCATGTTTTCACTTCCAACGTCTGAACCTGACCTGCTTATTAAGACAAAGATTATAACATTGTTCACAGAATCACAGAATCACAGAATCGTAGGGATTAAAAGGGACCTCCAAAGACCATCTAGCCCAACCCCCCTGCCAAAGCAGGATCCCTACACCAGGTTGCACAAGTAGGTGTCCAGGTGGGTCTTGAATATCTCCAGAGAAGGAGACTCCACAACCTCCCTGGGCAGCCTGTTCCAGTGCTCTGTCACCCTCACCATAAAGAAGTTCTGGCGCACATTTGTGCAGAACTTCCTATGCTCCAGCTTCTGTCCGTTTCCCCTTGTCCTGTCTCCGCACACTGCTGAAAATATTCTGGCCTGGCCACTCTGTCCCCCACACCTTAGATATTTATAGACCTGGATCAGGTCCCTTCTCAGTCTTCTTTTTTCAAGGCTAAACAGACCCAGAAACTTAGCCTTTCTTCACAGGGGAGATGCTCCAGGCCCTTCACCATCTTTGTGGCTCTCCGCTGGACTCTTTCCAAGAGATCCCTGTCTTTTTTGTACTGGGGAGCCCAGAACTGGACACAGTACTCCAGATGAGGCCTTACCAGGGCAGAGTAGAGGGGGAGGATCACCTCCCTCCACCTGCTGACCACACTCTTTTAAATGCACCCCAGAATGCCATTGGCCTTTTTGGCCACAAGGGCACACTGCTGGCTCATGGCCAACCTGTCATTCACCAGGACACCCAGGTCCCTCTCCGCAGAGCTCCTCTCCAGCAGGTCATCCCCCAACCTCTACCAGTGCATGCAATTATTCCTCCCTAGATGCAAGACTCTACACTTGCTTTTGTTAAACCTCATCTGGTTTCTTACTGCCCAGCTCTCCTTCCTGTCCAGGTCAGACAGCTTCACAGCTTATGTTCAAACTGATTTGTCAGTTCAAGCATCACTATCAAAATCATGAACCTGTAGAGGATCAAACATTATGCCACAATGCAGTTCTTGCTAAAAGTTGTGTTAGGTTCAGCTGATAACACAAAGTGCAATTAAACTTAGCTGTGATAAGACACCTGCTTTGAGGTGAGGTGAACTGGCCTCTGAGTCTGTTTGACCATCGCAGCTGACTACTGATGACTTGGAGGATCCAGAGGAGGGTCACTAAGATGATCAGAGGGCTGGAGCACCTCTGCTATGAGGAAACGTTGAGGGAACTGGGATTGTTTACCTTGGAGAAGAGGTGGCTCCAGGGAGACCTCATTGTGGCCTTCCAATACTTGAAAGGAGCTTATAAACAAGAGGAGGAACAGCTGTTTTCAAGGGTGTATAGTGATAGGACAAGGGGGAATGGTTTTAAACTGAGACAGGGGAGCTTTAGGTTAGATATTAGGAGGAAAAGGATGGTGACACACTGGAACAGGTTGCCCAAGGAGGTTGTGGATGTCCCATCCCTGGAAGCATTCAAAGCCAGGCTGGTTGTGGCTCTGGGCAGCCTGGTCTGCTGGTTGGCAACCCTGCACATAGCAGTGCAGGACTCTTGCAGGCCTAAGAGGCAGAGGGCCACCCCACTGTGCTGGCACACATCAGTGCCTGTCAGTTGGTGCACAGATATCTCCATGTCGCAGAGAGAGCCAAAGCAGCCAGACCAGGTTCTGCTCTTCTAGGCCAGCAAGGCACAGACTGACAGGATGACACTCTCCACTTTGGAAAACGCACGGTATACTAGGGAAATGCTTGAAGTATTTTGCTGGCTTTCATTTTTTCTTTTCTTCAAAATTAATCATTTCTGAATATTTATTGTTCCCTATATCAATGAAAGTGCTGTCATGGTTTGACAGCTTATGTGGCCCATGCACTGGAATGTACCTCCTCTGGCATTTTAGCAACTCTCACTTTTTGTAAGAGTCATACTTGAAAATACTTCTCCTTGGTTGCTCTAGCAATCAGCTTTCCTCCTTGCAGGCTTGTTTGGGGTTGATGGTGTCCTGTGTCTGAATGTGTAGCTCTTTGATAACTACAACAGCATACAGCAAAGTCTGTGCATTGCTGGTGGCTGTGCTACTCTGGGAGATGAGATTTCTGGGTGATATGGAGAAGAACACAGAAAATACCCCAATAGTAGGAAATTGAAAGTAATTGTATTTTCCTTGTACCTACCTTGTAATTGGTAGGTGAAGGTGAAGTATTAGGAAAATCTGAGTGGTTCACTGAGCAGCAAAACTAAGCAGTTGCTTTCCTTATATGTTTTTATCATATTGTCTGATGCTGTTGTTGGTATGAAAAGGGATGAAGGACTGAAGGAGTCAAGAGTGTTTTTTTCTCATTGGGCTCATTTTGAAAGTATTGTCTGAACAGAGAATGTGACCATGGCACTGCAAGTGTCACATTTTTGTATGATTTGTGAGCAAAGAGATCTGACCTAACTTTACATGGACCTCAGTCTTGACACTTCAGAAATACTGTTTGAAAAAATACTGCTTTCTACAAAGGACAGGTTTGGGGGCCTTGGT